TCAGGCTGGTTTCGAACTCCTGAGCTCAAACAATCCGCCCGCCTCGGCCTCCCAGAGAGCTAGGATTACAGGCGTGAGCCACCGCGCCCAGCCACAAAGACACTTCTTGCTATCAAGTGGGAGGCAACATAATAAATGAAGAGAAAAATAAGCAAGACAATATGAGAGAATGAAAAGTGCTATGCAGAGAATTAAAGTAAACCATGATATGAAAGTGACTGGAGGGGTACTTTAGATTGGGTATGTCAGGAAGTTCCCTCAGAAGTAACTTTTAAGCTGACAAATGAATGCCAACGAGGCAGGCACTCTGAGTTTCAGAGGGAAGAGCATTTCAGCCAAGAGGACTACCAGCATAAAGGCCAGAGGGACCAAAGAAGACCCTTGTGGCTTAGTGCGTGGGAAAAGCAGTAAAGATGGGGATAGAAAGGAAGGCAGGGGCCAGACTATGTAAACTTTGTAGGCCAGCGTAGAGTTTTGACTTTGTTCCGAGTATGATGAAGAGTGACATGATCCGATTTATATTTTTTAAAAGATCACCCCGGGACTTGTGTGTGGCTACTGGGCTGTCCAGAGGGATAACTGCATCCAGTTTGTTGGAGAGAAACGCTGGTGGCCCGGACAGGGTGGTGGTTTTGGAAGAAGTGGATGGATTTCCGTTATATGTGTAAGTTACAGTGGCCAGGACCTATTGACAGCCAGATGAATTAAGGACGACCCTTAGATTTTTGGCTTGATGGAGCATTTGGGTAATTACTGCGGAACCAAGCAGCCGCTCAGCCACTTCTAGGAGGGCCTTGACAAAGTTCCTTGGCCTGCCGGCTCCGGCCAGACTTAAAGGAGGGCAGCCGGAGAGCGACACGCCCAGACCCGCAGCCAGTGGCCTCCCCGCGCCGGAACGCAGGGAGAGGGCGCCCGCCCGCGCCCGCCCGCGCCCGCCAGCCACGGACTCTGCGAGCGCCACCGGGGGTTTCCGCAGCTCGCGGGCGGGGCCGGAAGAGGAAGTCGGCGCTGCTGTGGCGGCCCGGCAGCACAGCTGTCGCGGCCGAGCACGCCCGCCCGCCCTTGTCCCGCCGGGCCACAGAGGCAGCCGGCGGCAGGACCCGGAGCCTCCCCCCGAGCCGCACCGCGCCGCAGCACCCGGCACCCACCAGTCCGATGGGACCGCAGCGGCGGCTGCTCCCCGCCGCGGCCGCCCTGCTCTGGGGCTTCCTGCTCCCGCTGGTAAGGGGGGCGGACGGGCGCTCGGGCCTCCCCGGGGCGGGGCCGGGCCGGGGCTCCTCTCCCCTTCCCCTCCGCACCCGCCTCCCGCCCGGCCTCCCCTCTGCCCGCGCCTACGCGGCCTGCTCCCCTTTCCCCCTTTCATCCTCCTCCCCGCCCCTCCTCTCCCCTCCCCGCTACTCACTCCTTTCCTTCCAGCCTCCTGTGTTTCACCGTCTTTCCCCCAGTCCTCCTGCCCACCACCGGTTCCTGGCGAAATACCTGCCCCCTAGAAATCTGCAGAGCGCCTTATGGTGCATTGACCTTGGTGCTGCTTTATAGTTTTTCACTGCCCTAGCATTTTTTAAAAATTGATCTCTGGGTTTTATTGTTTAAGCGTTTCTTACGGCTTCTTAACCTCTTTGCCCCGGGAAGAAAAAAATATGAAAGGCCTCGGGGCGTTTAGCGGTTCCTGTACTGGACTTTAATTGCACCAATACAGATTTCTTTTTTTATTTCCCTCTCCTTCTGTAATTCCTATTTCACCTTAGGGCTCCTTTGATGCTGTTCTGAGGGTTCGTTTTGTTTTGTAATAGTAACAATTTAAAATAACTTTTAAAAGAACACCCTAAATGTAATGACTTTAGTGGTTTTCAGTTTTCTGCCTAGTTTAAAGGGATGTGAGTGGGTTAAGTAAAAATGACAAATATGTGTTCAAAAGTTTGGTTTCATAATTACAGAAAAGTAATAATGTTTTAAAATTCAGCATCAAGTAATTCGAGCTTTGGTTGGGGGTCAGAAAGCCAGAGTTTCAGTTTTTGTTTCTAGTGACTTTCGCTTAGGGAGTTTCAGGTTGGAAACTTTTATGAGTAGTATTTATACAGAATCGGTGTGGCATAAGCCTGTCCAGTTCTTTCCATTAGAATGTTTACTTTCTGTGGAAGAGTATGTTTTGTTTTTTCTCTCCAGTTTAAAGGGTTGGTATCAATGAATATATTCATATGAAAGTGTCTTTAATGTTTATTGAGAAACCAAAATCTAAACCAAAACAGTATTTAGTGCCTTTGATACATTCATAATTTTGCTAGACAACATTAGGAACAGGAATGAGAGAATGTATTTAAAGATTGCTTGGGGGAGAGGAGTCTAATATAAAAAGAATAACAAAATAGCAGTGTTTGAGTCTTTGAGGTGTTTACTGTGTAATCAAAGTTACCGAAGTGTTTCTGCACTTATTTGAATCTTTTAAGGTGATGGTAATAATGAATATATATATCACATTCCCACTAATCCTTTCTCAACATAAATTAATAAATAGCCCAATAATACATCAATTCCTATTAAACTCACATGGACATTCTTATTAAAAGCCCTGTCCTCTCTTCCCCCCCACATGAAAAATTTAAGCAAAATAGTCATGATTTACAAATCTAAAAGTCATCCCTCTTCTAAAATGTCTTTCCCACATTCTGGATTTTACACTTTTTAAAATTACATCTACGTAGTTTGTTGTATCTCACCATGTTAATCTTGGGTTCTATACTCATCAGTTTCAGGGATGTGGGGATTAAGTAATATTCTTTTACTCCATAAATATTTGATGTGCATCTATTATATGCCAGGTACTGTGCTGATAACTATGAAAAAACTGACAAGATCTCTTTAAATTGTAAAGATTTTTTTTTTAGTACCAACTAGTATTGATTTTCTATTTCTTATTGATTTCTCTATGGATCTGTTTTCTTCTTAACTCATCCTTTAATATCCTGAGGAGGTCTCTTTCTCATTCCTTTTCTTTTCTGAGGAACTTGGATAAATCTGGTTTCCTTTTCCTCAGCTAAGCTCTCGCTCCTTTCTTCTTTCTTGCTAGATACTTGGTTCCCTTCCTCCAACATCATCTGAAATCTTGTACCGTTTTCTCCCTGAAGCCCTTGTTTATTCGTCTTCCCTAATCTTACTGCTCTAGGTAGCCTCTCTGAGTTCATTTGAATGAATGATAACAGCTTAATCATTTCATTTCTCCTCTCTGGGCTCTTGAAGCTGGCACTACTTCCCCTTAGTCATGTAATAACAGGGCCAATATCCTCATCTAGAAACAACACATAATCTTCAGAAACCACTGCCACATCCTTGTAGAAGAGGCAGAGGATCTAGTATTGGAAAAACCCTTAGTGATCATTTAGCCTGTCCCCCTCATCTTGATCATCTTCACATCGGAGTGACCTCACTGTGTATTTTTAACTCAATCTATAGCACATCTGGCTGTTAGTGCCTAGCAGGTGGTTAACTCTGTCTTGGCATTGCCATAATTCCATTTCAGACTTGTCCTTCCCTGGTCCAGCTCCACCCCCAGCCCCAGTTGTTGGGCCTTTATTTCA